GAATTTATTTCAGTGTTTTTACAGGAGAGGGAAATGAAGCTGATGGGTTTGCAATTTTCTTACTCTTCTTTTCTCCACCCATTTTTAACAAACAGGCACAGTAAGGGTTCTGCAGTCTGGACCATGAATGGCTCTCAAACTGCTTCAGGAATCATAGGAAAGCACAGAATCCCAGAATCACTGAGAAGGAACCTCTGCAAGTCATCTTGTCCAGCCTCCCTCCTGAGAGCAGGGCAACCTAGAGCAGGTTGATTAGGCCCATGTTCAGTCAGGGTCTGAATACCTCCAAGGCTGGGGATTCCACAACCTCTCTGCACAACCTGTGTCAGTCTTTGTCCACCCTCACTATATACATATTTTAAAAAAACACACACACACATAGAAAAAAGTAATTCCCACAACAAACTAATAAAAGAAACAGCTTTTTTTCTTTTTAAGGTGGAATTTTGTTTGAATACCTCCTCATTGCCACTTGCCCTGTCACTGAGCACCTGTGAGAAGAGCCTGGCTCCATTCTGTTGGCTTCCTCCCATCAGATATTTATACACATTAATAACCTTCCCCGAGCCTTCTTCACTCCAGACTGAGCAGACTAAGCTCCCTCAGCCTCTGAGGCTGCCATGAGCAGGGAACCCACCGCTAGACCACGTTGCACAAAACCTTTTCCAACCCGTCCTTAAAAACCTCCAGGGATGGGGCATCAACAACCTCCCTGGGCAACCCATTCCAGTTCCTCACCACCCTTAAAGTGAAGAATTTCTTCCTAATATCCAACCTAAATCTTCCCTCTCTCAGTTTAAAACCATTGCCCCTTGTCCTATCACTGTCTTCTCTGATAAGAGTCCCTCCCCAGCTTTCCTGTAGGCCCATCAGGTACTGGAAGGTGCTGTAAGGTCTCCCCTTCTCCAGCCTTCTCCCCTTCTCCAGGTTGAACAACCCCAACTCTCTTGGCCATGATAAGTTTCTTCTATACTTATGATACAATTCTGTTCCTCAAGACTGAAATTCTGAGCTTTTTCATTAGCTGGATTTTCTTTCTTTAAGTGATTCTTTGTTTTTTAGTTTATTTTTGTTTCAATTTATTTTTTTCCCTGTATCTAGTATGTTAGGCAGTGCATGTTCCATTTTGTACAAACTGCCTGCACAGTAAATTGGGCAGGTCTCCCTGAGGAGCAGCAGACAAAAGACTTGGAAGGTGTCATGGGGATGGAGAGGGAAATGCTTTTATTGCCAATCAAATCAAAGATATTTAGATCTGCTGTTAAATGTTCCTGTAAATATTTTACTGTGGGGTGGGAATGTGGTTCCAGAGCTGTGTGAATAAGGGATGTTTCAATGGCTTAGTAGGATGGGGTGGGAGGTGGTTGTGTCTAAAAGAGATTCAATAAACTAAACCAAAAGATTTCATTTTTAGTTCTTTTTTTTTTTACCTTTTATTGCCAGTCCTTTCTCTTCGTGTCAGGAAACTCCCTTAGCAACAAGCCATGTTGTCAGGAGAAGGATGATTCCCACCTCCCTTTATATCCTCAGGATTTATCACACTCTTCCCATGTGGATATGTATCAAACTTCCTTTTTTTTTTTTTTTTTTTTTTTCCCTTTACTGGGAGAAAACTGGAAGCATGATTTGAAAATAATAAGTCAACATGAAACCTTTGGAGTGCTCTAAAAGCCTTCCTTCTCTCCCCTTTTTACACCACTTAGTTGGGGAAAAAATAGATGCATTCACTGTTTGCCAACGAAACACTTGCCCAGTTGTAATCAAGTCATTTTGCAATATGGTGTAGACTTTCAGTACATGTTTGGTGTGTGTGGCCTTGGGGGAGTCATGGCAGAAAATGCTTCCATTTGCTTCCCTCTGAAAAGAAAGGATGGATCAGGATCAACCTCTGTGCAGAGGCTGTTTTCAAGCTGTTTGGTTGTCCCACTTCTCTGCTTAGAGCAGCCTTAATCTGTGGCCATACTGGGAGGTAAAGAAAAGAAATTAACTCCATTTTCCTGTCCACAATTTTTTCTTTTGCTGTCTTTTACGTGGGGAAGAAAAGCACATTTTCCCACATCCCCTTATTTTTCCAGGTAAGGATCTTGCTAGATCTTGGGTTGCATTTTGCAATGGTGGTTGTGTTACTGGGGTAGTTTTGGGCTCAGCCAAGACCTGGGAGAGGCAAGATGTGTTCCCAAGACCACTCCAGACTTCCCAAGTGAATCATAGAACCATAGAATCATAGAATCTCATAGAATCATAGAACCATAGAATCTCATAGAATCATAGAATCACAGAATGGTTTGGATTGGAAGGGATCTGAAAGATCATCTAGTTCCAACCCCCCTGCCTGGTCAGGGACACCTCCCACCAGACCAGGTTGCTCAAGGCCCCATCCAACCCAGCCTTGAAGACCTCCGGGTAGAGGGCATCCACAATCTTCATCTGTTTCTTGTAGTATTTAGTGGTTGTGATGAACAACCTCCATCAAGACATCACAGATTATAGTGTTGTGGTACTTACAGTTTTTCTTGCTTGATGTGATCAAATGTTGTGTGGTTGAGTGTCTTGGAAATACTTGGTTTGTAGGATTGCAAAACTTAAATCCTTGTTTAACCTTCCCACTTGTTTCCTTCATTTTCTCTCTCCTTGATGCCCACACAAATACAAACCTTCATCCTCTCAGGGTGCTCGGGCTGTTGCAGGTTGGCTGCTACAGGTTTGGACTGAAGGCTGCTTCCCTAAAATGAAGGACTTCTTGCTGGGGGGCACCTGTACCCCCATATAATCATTCTGTGTGTATGTGCTACACTGCTCTGGATGGGGAAGCTCTGCTCTGGATTTTCTCCAATTTAATGGCCTCAGCTCCCACCCTTTGCTCTCTCAAGGCAGTTGGACTTTCATCCTCTCTTATGGCTCTGGCCCAATTAAGGGAGGATGCTGAGAGATTTGCTTTAGTCCTACAGATTCCCTGTCTGGCAAATCTCAGTAGGAGTTTTTTTGCTTGGCTTTGGGAACTTGGAAAGAAAGAAGGAAATTTAATTGCAAGAGGTGCCTGAGATCATTAGTCTATTTCCAGTACAGTCCACAACTGGGACTTTCTGGTGCTTTGGTCTCTGTGGAGAACAAAGCAAAGGAATAGTTGCAAGTACACAGCTGTGACAGTGCAAAAGAGACTCCAGCCTTTGCTGAGGCATCTATCAATGCATATATCAGGACATCATATGACACATGGCCATGTGTTGAGAAGCTCTTACGAGCTGGAGGCCATTCCCAGATTTTTGCATGTCAGAAGGAAAATGGCTCATCCAGGCCATGTGTAGTTTGAGTACTCAAGCCTAGGACAGAGCACTGTGTCTCATGTCATCTAGCTTTACACCTCGTTGTTTCTCTCAGTGCTGTAAAGACATGGACCTATTTGAGCCATAAAGGTCCAGAGGGTCCAGAGGAGGCCACAAAGATGATCAGAAGGCTGGAGTGCCTGCTATGAAGACAGGCTGAGAGAGTTGGGGTAGTTAAGCCTGGAAAAGAGAAAGCTCTGGGGACACCTTTTTATGCCTTTTAATAATTAAAGGAGATTTCTAGGAAAGATGGGGACAGACTTTTTAGTAGTGATAGGACAAGGAGTAGTGGTTTTAAACTAAAAGAGGAGTGAGTCAGACTGGATATAATTAAGACATTTTTTACACTGAGGGTGGTGAAACACTGGCCCAGGTTGCCTAGAGAGGTGGTAGATACTTCATCCCTGGAAGCATCCAAGGTCAAGCTGGATGGCATTCTGAGCAACTTGACCTAGTTGAAGATGTCCCTGCTCCCTGCAAGGAGGTGACCTTTAAAGGTCCATTCTCACCCAAATGATTCTATGATTCTACCATCATGCTGAAGGAGTTGCATATGCTTGTTGGAGAGGGTGGTTTGCTGGCCCAGCTCTTTGGGTTGTCCTTCTGCTACCAACTGACATTTATAAGCTAGAGCAGCTCCCTACCTGGAAAACAGGTGGCATTCCCAGCCATCTCATGCAGACATATCCTCCCCACAGGAATGTCCCATGCTCCCAAAGCCTACCCAGTAGCCAATGTTGCCTTCTACCTTTTCAGGGAATAACTCTCTCTCCTCAGCCTCCAGATTTTCCCTGTTTTGGGATATTTTTCATAGTCTTGGTACAAGGAAGCAGTAGCTGACTTTGGCTCTGTATCATAACCCAACTAATGCAGCACCTTTAACTCTTCTCCTCCTTTGCTGTCACCACCTCCATGCCTTAGGGTTGAACTGGTTTTAATATCAAAGTCCTGGGCCCCTGCTGATATGCTGGAGGGTACTGGGGGCACGTGGTGAGACAACACCTGTGGATGAGGAGGTGGGAAGGGGGAAGAAGTAGCTGCATTAATTTTATCCTGCTGCTGCTACCTTAGGCCTGGCACCTTTTTCCTTTTTCTTTTCTTCTTTTTCTTTTATTTTTTTTTCTAAACCAGCCAAGAAAAATAACTCTGGCTCCAATATTTATACTAGAGGCCCAGGAGCTTATAATATAGCAGTAAACTGTCTCTTTTGAGAGCTCATCAAGACTGCAGTGTGATGGATAGAGTCCTAGCCAGCTGCATGGTGGTAATGTTCCAGAAGACAGAATTACCTCTTTTTGATTGAGTGCCTGGTCTTTGCCCACCAGCTCAGGATCTCAAAGCACTTTGTGAACAACAAGGAATTAAAAGACTTGTCATGACTGAAACAGAGAAATGGTTGCTCTTTATCACTGGGGAAAATAAGGCACAGGGAAGTCAAATGAATTGTTTGCCCCCAAGGTGTAGTCCAGGAGACCTGGATTTTATTGCTTTTAATTGTTGCAGGTGGACATCCTGAATTTGGAGATAGGCTTGAATTTTTTAATTTGGCTTTTTTCACCTTCTTTTTTTTTCTTTTTAGAATACTGAGGTTTAACTGATTTTTCAACTGGTTTGTATCTCTTTTTCTCTGTTTTTTTAGGTTTGAAGTATAATCTTGCATCCATTGCTGCCTAGAAAATGTCTTATGGATCCATTGATGGAAGTGGATTTGGGAGCAGGAATCCATTTGGAGGCCCTTCAAGACAAGGCTATCAACCTCTTGGTAAAGTATTGATCCTTTGCTGTTAATTTATGCTGCTTTACTAACTGGGCACTCAAGTTTTACATGCTCATGTTTGGTGTGGCTGGTTGATAAATATCACACTCTCTCCAGAGCTCATTCCTGAGAGTGCTTTGCAAAGGCAGACATGAAACTTTGGTTGGATTTGATTTGTATGACCAGGCACCACATCCTACTGTGCAGTGGTGGGTTGAGCTTGGCTGGATGTTGGGTGCCCACCAAGTTGCTCTATCACTCCCTTCCTCAGCAGGACAGGATGGAGGGAAAATATAAGGTGGGAAAAAAAAAAAGAACCAACATGGGTTTTGTAAAAAGCAAAGGTCACACATGAAAACAAAGGAAAACAAAAGATTTCATCTCTATTTCCCATCAGCAGGTAATGTTGAGTCACTTCCTGAGAAGTAGGGCTTCCATATACATAGTGGTTGCTCTGGAAGACAAATGAAATGCTTCCTCCTCCTCCTTTCTCTTAGCTTTTATTGCTGAGTAGACATCATATGGTATAGAATATCCCTTTGGTCACTTTGAGTCAGCTGTCCTGGCTATGTCCCCTCCCAAGATCTGGTCCACTCCCAGCCTACTGGTGAGGCTGGAATATTGGAGACAGAGCCTGGATGCTGTGTGAGCTCTGCTCAGCAGTACCCAAAACACTGGGGTGTTATCAACACCTTTTCTTGTTTACCAACACAAGGCACAGCACTATGAGGGGAAAACTAACTCCATCTCAGCCAGACCCAACACTTATGCTCAGGACTTGAGGTAGCAACATGGAAGAGGAGCACTGATTAAGATTTTGGAGGTATTTTGGAGGAGTAATGTGGAATATTCTCTAGACTTGCTCATGTCTTTCCTCGTCTTCCCAGCATCTTGCAAGGATTTTGTCTAAATGGTGTTCTACTGTAGGTGGACTGATGATGGGAATAGATCTGAAGGTGTGCAAAGGGCAGAAGTCTTTGCTTCAACACAAGGTATTGGCTGCTTATATCTGGAAAATGTGCTCAAATGTGGCAAAAGGGTCAATAATTTGCTCAGGAAATGATGAAACAATTAACAGTGGCTTGAAAATGACCACGGATTCTTGTTTTGGGTGGCATGTTTTTGATGAAAGACCAGATGTGGTTTCCTCCCCTGTTTCTCCCTTGCCCTAAGGACTGTAGAAACACAGCAGAAGAAGGAGAAAAACATCCAAGTGACAACCGGTGTATCTGAAATGGTCCAAAACCAACAAGTCACATCTGCTCTTCATAAAATCAAATTCATAATGTAACTTCCAACATGGAGTGCAGCTAACAGTTACAATGTCCTGCTTTGGTGTGTTGAAGGTGTTGACTCTACTGTATCCCCTTCCTGACACAGACAAGTTGTAGGAGACATTCTTTGCCAGAAGTGGGTAATGCAACTATTATCCCTGTTGACATGGGGCTGGCTTCTGTGTGGAGGTGGAAAGTAGGTCTCATCCTGGCCACTTCTGATCAAGAGGCCAGCCCACGTTGGCACAGGCAGATAAGACCAGATCTCCAGCTGCCCAGATGTAGGCCAGCTCCTGATCTGGAGGAAGAACTGCTGTTGGGCTGGATCTAGGTTAATCTAGTCTGGTTTTCATCAAGCCTTGTTATCTGGAACATATTCTTGCGTTGAATTTTGGGCCTGGGTCTGACTCTGACTTGCACTGCAGGGTGAGGCAGCAGTGGCTGTGGTGAAGGCATAACTGGGAGTTCAGACCTCTGCAGAAGCATCAGGAAAGGGGACATTTTAATATGGTTAAGAGCTGTGTTACTGCTTTGTACCAGGGAAGAACATTTTCCTCTTCTTTTGCCTCTCTACAATTGCCTTAAATTTCACATTAAGGCAGCCTGACTTCATTATTAAGTTTTGAAGGTTGCAGTTGTTCTTCGAGAAACATTTGGTTGTTTTGCAAATAACTGTTCCCCCTGGATGGAAATATAGAGGAAGCATAGAGGTTTCTCTGTTTTCTTATGAGTTTTGATGTAATTATGAATTTTTTTCTTTGAACAGGGAGAAGGAATTGAACTGAGTGCAAGTTGTCAGCTCAGTTGTAAATAATGATTTTCAGGCTATTCTACAAGGCAAAATTTAAGACATAAAAGCAAGGAAGAATGAAATACTTGGGCACAATGAAAGAACTGTAAGAAAAGGGAATTGAACTGTGGACTAGATAAATGATGAAACTCAGTGCATTGTAGTTTAGGGTAAAAAACCATGAATACTTACTGTGCTGTATGAAAGGACCACTATTTTTAATGCAAATACAGAGAATAATTCAAGACAGTTGCAATCTCTAAGTATTAGAAGAGAGAGCTCATTGTGCCCAGCTTGCCCATCTTTTGGCAGTTACTGATGTGATGTTGAAGCCACACTCAGTGGATTGCAAAAAGCAGCTGATGTGGAAACATCAGCTGTCTTGAGCCTGTCAGATGCCCAGCCAGAGCGTGTTAACATGTTTGCTTATGTCTTAGAGTTGAGTGCTGACTCCCCTTTCATGCACGCCCACATTATCTTGGGTGGCATTTGATGGACACATCTCCAAGGTCTTCCATGGCTGATCTTCCCAGCAAGTCAAAAGTGGCTATGGAGTTGCTCAATACCAAGTTGGTTCCTTGGCTAGGTATCTCTGTGGAAAGGAACACAAGGGAAGGGACCTGGCTGTGTTGGCCAAGGGCAACTTGGAGAAACTTTTCTCTTTTCAGATGTGCCATCTCAAGCTGCAGAGCTCTCCATGCCTATGTGCCTTGGGAGACTGAGGAATACGGTGTGTCTTGTTGTAGTATCCCCAAATATTGTAATTAATTAAGTGTCAGGAGAGGGTAATACAGCAAGAATCCTCTGCCTCCTGCTTCTGAAAGCTGGATGACTGGCTGGCTAAGGAGAACTCCTCACTGTATTAGATCATTGTATGGCTGGAACAAAAGAGCATGGCCTTCCTGCCAGCATAAGTATGTCAGCTCACAGTGGGGGCAGGTCCTGATGAACATGTTTTGCATGTGCTCTAGACACCTTCTTCTTTTTATATCTAATAGATAAATACACCAGGTAGCAGCACCCCTGCCAACAGTTGCTGCCCAATGGCAGCACGGGGTCTAGTGGGGATGTTCAGGCATCCAGCAGAAACCCCTGAAATCCTGCAATAGTAAAGGGGATGACGCTGCTTCGTAGGCTTTTGGTAAGAAGTTGGCATGGAAGTGATATATAAAGAGCAAGCAGGTTTCAGCAGCCTCAGCTTCTCCAAGGAGCTGGAGGCTTTTCCCAGCAACTGGTTGTACAGCAGGTAAGGAAAAAAAAACAAACCACACGGGGACTTTGCTTTCTTGAACCTTTAATTTCATGAAGGAGAGCAAAGAAAAAGGGGGCTCAGGTTTGGGGGGTTTGTTTTTTTGTTTATTTAATAAAGGATGATATCAAGAGGGTGTCCTCTGTCCTAATACCCATCTGTCTGTCTTGGCTGCATTTCCCCCATACTCAATCTGAACACACTTCCCAGGCTGGGAAAGATTAATTCCATGAAGATGCTTCCCTTGGCCTTGGGCTGATGTGATGATGGATGGATTTACAGCCCATCATCAGGCCATGCAGCTGTTGCCTTTGCTGACCAGCCTAGTTGGGGAGATCCTCAAGCTCCATTGGTAGCAGTTTTGAGAGGAATCCCAGAGGCAGGTTTTCTTGGGAATTTGGTGTGTCTGGGACATCTGGGTGTCAGACAGCTCTGATTCAAACTCTGCTTGTGGTGGTGTTGCTGGATATCCAAGATTTCTTGGAGAAGGGTCAGGGGAGGTGGGGGAAGCAAGTATACTTTGTATTGTTGCTATTTTTCCATCGGATATTGTCGGGAAGGAAGAGAGACTGCACTCAGCAAAACTCAAATGTTCTGTAGCCTTAACTGGAGAGCACTTTTAAGGGGTGTCACAAGGAAGACCACCTGAATTATTTGGAGTGTAAGCAGTTTGGAGGGTTGACAGTGTCATCCCACAGCCAGCAAAACCAGTGGGGAGCAGCAGGTGGAGGTGTAAGCCATGACCCTGCTCTGCAGTTGTGAGTTGTGACCTCCTCCAGCAGCATCTGTCTCCATTCCTTGTTCTGCTCCCAAAAATCCATGCGAAACCAAGTGTTTTCCTGTTTCTTTGTAGGAGCTTCTCTGGTCTTCAGATGTGAATGAGTGTTTCATGAAGTTAGAAAGTAGGTAGTGAAAAGTTGGGTTTGTTTTTATTTTTTAACCGGAGAAGTGAAAAAGATGGAAATTACTTCCAGTGATGTTTTTTTTTTAGGTGATGTGACATGTCTAAAATAATTGGAGACCAAACACTGTATAGCAGTAGGAATTAAACACTGAATTCTTATCATTTTGGTGTGTGAAACATGCATTCTCTACCATGTTCATCCTGTCCTCCCAAACCCACCTTTTGAAAAAAAATCTGCTGTAAACAGGGAATTCAAATAGCTTGACTTAAAATGCCACAAGTCAGGAAATTTTTAACACTGCTTTTGTTAACCTCCCTGTGCCCTGGACATTAAATGCCAGATTTGATTGGGTGAAGGTAATTTCATATTCCAGAGCTGCAATGTTTCTAGGTGTACTCAAGGAACCATTGGGCCAGTGTTTAATTTTATTCTGACTTCATCTAGACCATTTTTCCTTCAGTTGCTCATGAAGGTGCCATGTGGGACACTGGCCAGAGTTGCATGCAAGATATATTGCATGTGGGTCTTTCCCTTCGTCTGCTAGCTTGGTTATCTTGTCAAAGAACAAAATTAGATTGGCCCGTGCAAGTTGTTCTTGGCAGTGTTTGCTGAGTGTTATCACCCAATTATCATTTCAGGACTTAGCAATTGTTCAATGATTTGTTCTAACATTTTTTCCAGGAATTGGGTCTATAATTTTCTTTGCCCTCTCCTCTCTACCACCTACTTGCTGCTCTGCTACACCAACAAGTTCCTGGGTTGTAAGTCCCATCTAAGTGCCAGCATCA